GTTATACTCCTCACCATGCCAAATAAATCCTTTACACCCTGCTTCCACCCATCATTTTGATCATTTGCATAAGTCATGCCTAATCACAGGAGCGTAATTCCAATTGACTACTTTTTGCGACACATCCTAAGACACGACGTGTTGAGACAATAATAATAATAATAATAAGCAATAATAATTTACTATAAGCGTCTGGTCAGCTTTTCACTTACTGGCCTTATTTCTGCATTTAAATGTTCTTGTTTTCTTTAAGCACTCAATGTAGGTAATCAGTTTCTCTTGACTCTAGACTTTGTCCACCAAGTTCAAGAGGCTTTGGGAATTATTTTTAAAGAGTTTGAGAGTGTGAAGGGTAGGGCAGCGTTTTGCAAACTTGAAGGTTTTCTCTGTGCGATCAGCTCACTAAGTCGCTTACATTGTGTGGTCGACAGTGTTGACGGTTGAGAGGGGACAACGATGTTAAAACATCTTAATTCAAACAAAAAATAACACTTAATGAATGCGTATGCCCTTAAACTGAGATTTGTGAAATGCAGGAAAGCGCCTTTACTCCTGGACCTGCTCAGGCATTTCTCAGTTCTCGGGTATGGCAGTGAAGGATTAACGTCTGTTCCATCCCTGTAACGCTACCCCTTACTATAACACCAAAAAAAACAACCTTTACACTTTTTACACCCTGCTCCAGAATACTATCAGGTATGCTGGGGAAACGATAGATTCTAAAGTGCATAGAGCTTGCTATAAAGCGGGAATTTGCGCAATACAAATTACATACTATTTATTATCATGTTTTCAAAGGCGTGGAACTCCCGAATTTAAAGTCCTCCTTCGACAGAACTTATCCAATTAGATAGTAGAGTCTGACACTTGTAATTTTGGGGTCAGGCAAGGGTACAATAGTTCATTTGATTTTGCGAGGGTGCGTTAACCTGTACGAAATGTCAACATACCAACATCAATACCTGTACATGGTACACGCTCTCCGGGTTCATAGGACACACCCCAAAAAGTGGTCTTAACCAGCAGTACATTAACTGGGCACACAAGTTGGTACTGGCTATGTTGTCAATCGTTTTGTTTATCTTATTAATCAATTATAAATGTTTTACGTACGCTCCATCGATCGATGCACTTTAGATCATGAGGCGTGAAACAACATTCCAGAAGACAGATGGAGATAATATTCTTTTTTTTTTAAAGCACAAAAAAACCTAAACAACAAAAACAACTTCCCCTCACGAGAAAAAAACACCCTCACATCTTCTCACTGTAACAGTGAAGCCCTTCACTACCACCACAACACAAACACCGGTGTTGTGTGCCTGTTGTGCGTAATCAGTTGCTTTGGTTTTTTGTTTTTTGTTGTTGTTGTTGTTGTGTTTTGCTTTTATTTTGTTTTTGTTTTCGTTTTTTGTTTTCTTTTTTTTTTAGTTTTTGTTTGTTTGGTTTTGTTTGTTTGGCTTCTTTTGGCTTATTTATGCTGAAATTAATGTTTTACTTGCTGATCCCCACAGGCACCAGGACTTGAGCAAATACTCCACAGAGTACGTGGCCACTCTACTGGTGGGCTCCACGTCACACCTGGGGAACAGGACGGTCACACCGGAGAGGGCCTTCAAAGTAAACGTTATTTATTTATTTATCTTTCATTTGAAAGGGGGG